GGAATTTACATGATTTAAATTTTCCTGCTTTAGTAGATTCCCCGAACATGCAAACAAATTTCCCGAAAAATCGTTTGAATTCGTCGTTTTGTTAAAAGAGGAGGCAAACGAAAAGCTGGCGGGGTTGTTTTATATGTAAATAGATAAGTTGGCTGCCTACCTTATGAAAATATGTTTTTATATTTTTTCATATTTTTTAATATTCATAAACCAAGTAGGAACAATTTTGTTAATTATTAGGTAAAATACTGTTACTTAATTTTATTGTAAACACAAATTTTAAAGTTCTGATATTATTATTAATAATATAATAATAATGTAATTTTTTAATTTACGGTTACAGTAGGGCTATTGGCGAAGATCTCCATAATAAAAAATGACGTGGAAATTCATTCTTATTTATTATTTGAGAGCGGATTAATAAAATTACCAAATAGTTGAACATCAGTTTTTTCTATAAATAAATAAGTAAATGCAACTAAAAATTTCCAGATACATTTAGTCGCTTGACCTTGAAAATTAAAATTTTTTTGCCTGCGGCGTTTTTTTTCTTTCTTTCCCACGTAGTACAAAAGATACGTGACTCACATATTCACAATGTCATGAAGCGTCACCGCGTTATACCCGGCATGATAGATCGAGTCTTAGCTCTCGAATAGGAAAGGACAATATCCACTCCATTGCCATAGTTAGCCTATCAGCAAGTGATACTAGCGTCCACCTACACTATTTCACTCCGATCACGCCACCCTTGTGACTGTGATAAACAAGATAAGTGGTAAACAGATATATATCTGTCAGATTTACGTCTAAGGATAGTCCATCTCGAAATGTTGTCTAAATTGGGTTGTCTGTTGTTTGTTCTCTCGTTTGGGAACAGCTGTAAGTAACTACACTTATTATATTTTTCTGTATTTACTTTTATACTTTTTAACAATCAAGTAAATACATTTCCTGTAGGACTTTCAGAACACCCTGTATAACGTATAAAAGCAACAACTTGTGTTCAATATATTTTTTCTAAATAGCAAATTCTTGAACGAAGTACCTAATTAGTTCCTATTTTTCTGCTTCCCTTTGTTGCTCTTGATGACTTGCATGATTAACAGTTTGGCATTTATTTCTAGGGCACTCTGTGGATGAAGTAGCATTCTCCGCTCGAGAGAGAATGCATTTTTTATTAATTTTCATATCTCGCTGTAAAAAGTACTTTTGAAAAAAACACTTATTAATTAAATTATCCAAGTAGCTACAATATAATCACAAGTCATTGGTAAACAGAAATTTTTTCGTGATAAATTGATAATTAGTCGTTCAAGGATAACAGTAATGGATATTGTTCACATTAAAAAAAAATGTCCCGCTTTTAAGTATGTTGTTGTCTTTGTAGTGTAAATTATTATCAGTCATAAAAGACAGTTTAATTTATATATTTTAATTTAAATCGTTGCTAGTTTGTTCAAGCCAGGATGATCTACCAGAGATAGATACGCCTTTGGGAAGGGTTCGGGGATATTGGAAGACGTTGGATGGTATAACATATGCTGCATTTGAGGGAATTCCATATGCAAAACCACCAGTGGGAGATCTTAGGTTTGAGGTGGGTCAAAATATTCTCATTTGTGTTAAATGTCCAACTAAACCGTCATGGCTTCTTTACGTATTTGTAGGAATCTGAACCCATCCCAGCTTGGTCAGGAACTTGGGTGGCCAACGTTTCTTATACATGTCTCCAAAGTCAAGTACTGTCCACTATTCACAATGAATCTGGTCAGTATAAAGTACCAAGTGTAACTTGACACCTAATTATGCTTCTCTTAAAGTACGAAGAAATATTACTTCTTATGCCTTTAAGGATTTACTTCTTACAATATCATCGTCATTGATGAAAGTGTTTGTATTTTTTAGGAGACGAAGATTGTCTGTACATAAACGTGTACATCCCTGAGGATTCCGTGAAGAACCCCAAGGCCCTTGACGTTATAGTTTCAATCCATGGAGGTGCTTTTATGGTAGGCAGCGGAACGGAATTTGATACGTTCCTAGACAAGGAGGCAGTGCTTGTATCTTTGAATTACCGTGTTGGTATTCTAGGTACGTTGTTTTTTCGGTGTACCATGTCAGTGTTTATTCAATTAACGTTCCAGGATTCCTCAGCACGGAAGACGACGTCATACCCGGCAACAACGGCATGAAGGATCAAGTCTTAGCACTCAAGTGGGTCCGGGACAACATCGCTTCGTTTGGAGGAAACCCCCACTCCGTTACCATAGTGGGCCTGTCAGCGGGAGGCGCCAGCGTCCACCTTCACTATTTCTCCCCCCTCTCGAAAGGTTTATTCATCAGAGGGATCTCTCAAAGCGGTACAGCTCTGGGGCCGTGGGTAACGAAGAAAAATGCTTTGCAAAGCGCTAAGAAGCTTGCTGCGTTGATGGCCTGTCCTGACAGCCCCTCGGAAGAACTGAAGAAGTGCCTTAAACAGAGACCTGCACAAGATTTAATAGAGCAAGTAAAATATTTCTATGGTTACGATATCGCGCCAATGACGCCTTTTTCACCAGTGGTGGAAAAAGGATCAACGAACGCTTTTCTAGACGCGGAACCTTACCAGCTTTTGAAGGAAGGTAAAGTCCACGATGTGCCTTGGATTACCTCCTACACTACTGGTGAAGGATTGCTTCTTACAGGAGGTGAGTCAGGCTGTATAGTAGCCTTTCTTTCTTTTTTCTTATACCCTGCAATGATTCGGTGATACAGATTATATAATTCTTCAGTTCTTTGGCAAAAGTTGGATGAGGTAGACGAAAAGTGGGTAGAAATATTTCCCTATCTGCTACATTGCAACGAGACTTTACCTGTATCAGAGAGAGAAACAGTAGCGAAGGAAGTTTTAGACTACTACATGGGACCAGGAGAAAAAATCAGTAAAAATAGCTACAAAGAATTTACACAGGTATACTTTCTCAATTTGTGAAACCAAATTTATTTCTTTATTTTGTTTTTATTTGCATTTAGATTCTTACTGACAGAATGTTCGCTGTTCCTGCAGAATTATCAGTTAAATTACAAGCCAATGTAACGAAATCTCCAGTATATCTCTACATATTCAATTACACCGATGGTGCAACCAAGCTGGTGCAAATCATATCGGGAACAGATGAAATAGAAGGTAAGAACTGAACATTTAACTAGGGAAGAAGCGGCATTGAATAAATATCGAAGTTAATTCTAACATTATCATATTGACAGGTGTGTGTCACGGTGAAGATTTTATGTACTTCTATACAGACCAGCAAAATTTATCGGGACAGGATAAACGCTTGGGTACTGCTTGCCAGAATATGTTGTACTCGTATGCCAGCAGCGGGTAAAAATAACATCAATTTCCTTAATTTAATTATTTCCTTCATTAATTCCAAATTTTTAGTAATCCTTCTTTCGATGGGACAGACGTTTGGCAACCAACAGGCGCTGAAGAGCTGACTTACTTGGTTGTAAATAGACCAGACGACATGAAGCTGCACAAGAGCGAGCACCTGGCACCAACTGAGTTTTGGAGCAAGCTTGGGTTCCTAGAGGATGAAAACCTTATTGCAAAAAATGAAGTGTAGATTTCTAATAGTTTTCTTATGTGAATTATAAATATGTGCTACAAGATAAAAAATAGTTTGATTTCATCGTTTTCCTTATTATTATAATTGTTTTATTAATATTAATATAAGAATGTAATGAATCACTTAATTCCCCAAAATAATAACTTTCGATCTATTTTGGGATCAAGCCAGTCCTGCCCTGATGATGGTACCAAATAAGATAAATGATAATATCATAATTATATTATTTGCTATTGATTACCTACTGACATTACCTTATATTTAGACGTGATTAGTATTGTTTTGTCTTATTTACTTTTACGGTACATAGAAAAATTGAAAAGTATCCTCTCATAAAACTAATTTGAAATTAGTTTGTTTAAATCAGGTTGAACTGCCAGAGAAGAACATGCCTTTGGGAAGAGTTCGAGGATATTGGAAGACTTTGGATGCTATAAAATATGCTGCATTTGAGAGAATTCCATACGCAAAATCACCGGTGGAAGATCTTAGGTTTGAGGTGGATTAAAATATTCTCATCTATAACTTACATTCATTGTTACTTTTATTTATAATCCGTTTTTCAATTATTCCTCATATGCAGCGTGATCTCCTGAGTTGGACATGTATGATGAAACTTGTGTTAAATGTCGAACTTAACCGTCATTGCTTCTCTACATATTTATAGGAACCTGAACCCATTCCAGCTTGATCAAGAACTTGAGTGTCCAACGCTCCTCATACATGTCAACTTTTCAATCTTGAAGAAATATTTGGTCAGTATAAAGCACGAAGTAACTTGAACCCTAAATACACTTGTCGAAGAAATGTTATTTTTATACGCCTTTAAGTATTTACTTCTTACAATATTATCGTCATTGATGAAAGTGTTTGTATTTTTTTAGGAAACGAAGATGTGTACATCCCTGAAGATTCCGTGAAGAACCCCAAGGCCCTTGACGTTATAGTTTCAATCCATGGAGGTGGTTTTATGTCAGGCAGCGGAACGGAATTTGATACGTTCCTAGACAAGGAGGCCGTGCATGTATCTTTTAATTACCGTCTTGATATTCTAGGTACGCTGTTTCTTTAACATTGCCTTCGGCTTCCCATGCCAGTGTTTATTCAATTAACGTTACAAGATTCCTTAGCACGGAAGATGACGTCATACCTGGAAACAACGGCATGAACAACCAAGTCTTAGCACTCAAGTGGGTCCGGGACAACATCGCTTCGTTTGGGGGAAACCCCCACTCCGTTACCATAGTGGGCCTGTCAGCGGGAGGCGCCAGCGTCCACCTCCACTACTTCTCTCCCCTCTTCCTATTTTACGAGTATAATTGCGCCGTCCTATCCTGGCGATTTTCGTTGACAGAAAAACTGATAAAAAACATACAATGAAATAATTCCTGTCTTAACAGTATCGAAACACAGTTCATTGCCTAATGTTGGTTGCACAAATTGGTGTGTCTATTTTTTATTCTCTAGTTTGGGAACAACTGTAAGTAACTAAATTATTACAATAATTATTAATGTCTTTAATATGTTTATATAAGAAGCGAAGCTCGTAATAATATTTTACTACTCCTGTTGTAAAGTTAATGACTTTCCTACGGCTCGTCTATAGAATGTGATATTTTTTCAATCTAGACATTGCACAAAAATAAAAATAATAATCTGTTGATCACAGAAGGAAATATATGTATACTTCAGAGTTCTGTGAACTGAGGACTTCGACAAGTATTTGACTTTGCCTATTTGTTTATTTATTCTTTCCATGGCAAAAAATATTCAATTTCATTAGGTACAGTGTTTTCTACTGATTAAAATGTCATTTTAATTAGGCTGTCCCAAGACTAACTTGTAATTAATTTGTTTAAGCAACGATGATCTGCCAGTGATAGACACGCCCTTGGGGAGAGTTCGAGGATTTTGGAAGACTTTAGATGACCAGAAATATGCTGCTTTTGAGGGTATCCCATATGCGAAACCACCAGTGCAGTGAGAGATCTCAGGTGGGTCAATATATTCTCATTTTTGTTACAAATTTTTGCGGGTTCAAAAACAAGTTCTAAATTTCTTTGTTAACTTTGAAATTGTGTCAATAGAAAACCTCAAATGGCAGTAATTTTTGCTTATGGTACTAATGAGACATAATGATTTTAGAAAATTATTTTATTAAAATTTACAATACACTTCTGTATTTACTTTTATCCAGTTTTCACAAGCAATTTTGTTTGCAGCAGCTTCGTATTGCTGGTTGTAGCAATTCGCGTGATTATATGTACACATTAATAAAAACTGGACAGATAGTAGCAGAACATGATAAAATTGGGACTATAATTTGAAATATTTCTCTTAAAATTCATGGGTAAAACTTTTAATCGAATTTCGTAACAGTAAATGTGCATCAAAACGGGAGCTAGTCGCAAAGCAAATTTTGGACTACTATTTGAGACTAGGAGAAAAGATCAAAAAGAACAACTTCAAAAAATCTACTCAGTTACTCTTTATTTCCTTTTTATTTATTTAACCGATAGATTGTTTGCTGTCTCTGCAGAACTGTCCGCTAAACTGCAAGCCAACTACACTGAGGGTGAAAATAAATTTGCCAACTTTTATCCGGGTGATCACGAAATAGAAGGTAGGAACTGACTTTTAGTACACAACTATAACCTAAGTGACAAGTGTTGTAGCTCACGGTAATTCATTATTATTAATAACATTTGTATATTCAACATACATATATTGCAAATTCAATCTCAGATATATCTGGAGTTCTTTAAATACATTTTGCATTTAAACAGTCTCGCTTGGTTGGAGATCTTCCGGATGTGTGCAGCGCTAAGCATTATTTAATAAAAATACCAAACAAATCTACTTACCATCATATTCCTTCCACAGGCTTGTGTCATGCTGAAGATGCTATGCGATGACACTTATATAAATTCATTCTCAGAACAAGACAAACGCTTGAGTAATGCTTGCCATAACATGTTATACTCATATGCCAGTAGCGGGCAAAGAACACATAAATCAGTTCTTAAAACCTTTTCTCCTTCATATATTTATTTTTTAGTATTCCTTCATTCGATGGGACAGACACCTGGCAACCCACGGGATCTGAAGAGATGACTTACTAGGTTGAAAATGGACCAGAAGACATGAAGCTGCGCAGGAGTCAAGGTATGAACCCTATAGATTTTTGGAGCAAGCTTGGACTCCTGGAATATGAAAACCTTGTTGTAAAACGTGAATTATAGTTTGCTTTCCGTATTTTCTTTGTTTTATAATCATCTTAAATTTTAATAATATTTTATGTAAAATATATTGTAAATGATTTTGTTTCCCAAAACGATAACTTGTTCTGTTTTACAATCAAGCCAATCCCACCCTGGCAATTATATTTGTCTATTTCTTATCCTCCATTTTGTGACCAATATTGTAAGTGACTGAACTAATTGTGATAGCCAGTTTCTTTAATTTTTTTTCTCTAAAATGCGTGTATTACAAAAAATAAATGGCGAAGTGCTCAAGTCATATTTGTATAAAAATAGTATTGGTAAAGCAGATAAGCGAATGATAACCATATTTACAAAGATCAAATTTTTGATTGACGTGGAAACCGATGTTCGTTAAGTGAAATGATAATGCGAGTATTTTCGAGAGTTGCAAAAGGTTTCTACTCGTTCGATGATTATCTTGTCGTATTAACTCATAGAGGTAAAAAAGGAGAGCCAGAGACACCTGTTCTCAGTTTCGCTTGACTAACCACAGTATGTTTGTGTACGCAACTACCGTAACCACCTATCAAAAAACTAGGCTTAGCAAATTCAAGCAATTTTTTTTGCCAGTTGCCACTGGCTCTTGAACTATTATCATTCAATGGTGATATGTAATATTAAACCAAAAAGAGACAAATTGTTCCCTGTTGCACGAAGAGATTTCTCTAATTTTCCTTTCGACATTTTCTTAGTAAATTTGATGGCAGTAAGATGAAATACTATACAGGGTGTTAACGATAAACTTTAATGGCGTATTCTACCGATGAAAATAATCAACTTTTACCCTAAATAAAAAATATTTAGTGGGTGATGAGGTTATTCCAAAACATCCAGATCGCCGTATCAGCCAATCAACAGTCAGTAAGACATAATCTAAATTTAGAGAAACTGGCAACGTTGCAGATATTCCAAAACCTGGACGTCCAAGCGTTAGTTAATAAACGGAACATTTTGATAAGTATGGTAGATAATTCTCATAATACTTCACGATTGGTTGCATTAAACAATGAAATTAGTCAGACTACAGTGCTACGTATCCTGAGGTAGGAAAAATATCATCCCTACAAAATTCAACTTGTGCAGGAACTCAATGAAGACGATCCCGACCGCCGCTTACACTTTTGTGAAATTATGATGGATTTATGTCAAGTAAATAGAGATTTACACTGGCAAATACTTTTTTCAGGCGAGGCCACGTTTTGTCTTAATAGTACAGTGAACCGTCAAACTTGCAGGTATTGGAGTCGGGAAAATCCTCATTGGATGGCAGAGACACATACCCAACACCCACAGAAATTAAATGTGTGGGCTGGAATAGTTAACAATAGAATAGTAGGGCCTTTCTTCTTTGAAGGAACCCTTACAGGAGAAAGATATTTTAAGATTTTATATTAGAAGTTTTTACAAAATGACCTTGTTCCAGCGCTTGCAGTAATTTTTCCTAACGATAATGACCCTGATATTCCTGATGACACCATATGGTTTCAGCAAGACGGTGCACCTTCGCACTATGCGCGCCCTGTTCGAGATTTTCTGAACAATTGTTTTCCTAGGAGGTAGATCGGCAGACGAGGACCGATGGAATGGCCCGCGAGATCCCCAGATCTTACACCCCTGGACTATTTCTTATGGGGCTACTTAAAGTCCAAAGTGTACGTTAATAGACCACATAATTTAGAAGAACTCCAAAATTGTATTATAGATGAAATACACAGAGTTACCCCATAAATAATTCGTAATATGCAAGAAGAATTTCTACATAGACTTGCGTATTGTTAAGAAGTCGGTGGGTGGCAATTCGAACACTTAATTTAGGTAGAAAACTTAATGAATTGTTGCTTGACATAGGAATTGTTATGTTTTTAATGAATAAAATTTACTTTTTTTAACATTCAATCGTCATTTACTTGAAAACTTTCCCATGTAAGATGGCAGCATTTTAATACTGTCGGATCGACAATGAAACGATCTTTGAGAATCAAGAAAAAATAGGGGGTTCCTGTTTAAAAAAATGTCGATGACGTCATAACTCGAAAACAAATGACGGTTGAAAATCGCATTTTATGCTAAAATATGTATTTTTTAAATTAAAAGTCGACCTATTCGAGGATTTTTCCCAAAAAAAAATTGTTTCGATTTTACTGAATTTATTCCGTACTTTAGGCACGTACTGTATAATTGCAAGTAATTAATAGTGTTTCACTATGTCATAATTAGATCAAAATTGTTTACTGATCTAATCTACTTATCCAAAAATTTAACGGAAATGCCATACATTAAAAACACTTATAGATAATCAATTAAGTATTAGATTATATCCACTTGTACAATTATTGTCTCGCAGATTTGGTTGGGTATAGTATTTTTCTATAGAGTACCTAATATTTAATTTTGGTTATGCTATTCCAAGATTTGAGCTTGAAAGTTCAAGCAACAGGTCAGCCAGAGATAGAGATAACTGACGAACTAAATGCCATTTTATCGGCAGAAATATGCGAATAGACCTAAAACGACAATTTTTTCAATTCCGTAATCTTTGAAATGAATATTTGGTCAGTACGAAACACGATTTAAGTTCATACTCTATCATATCTCTTTCGAACCACAATTCTCGAAATAGTTCAAAGCTCAGAAATTCAGTGTCATTATTGAAATTCAATGTTTTTTTAATGGTCTAAGTTATTGCCTTTAGTTTCTAAATGTCAATCATTCAATCAGCGTTAACATTCAAGGAATCTTTAACATGGAAGACGCCGTCATACCCGGCAAGAGTGGCATGGCAGATCAGGTCTTATTGTTAGCACTCGAGTCCACCTGCACTATTTCACTCTGATCACATCATTCTACCCTTGTGACTGTGATAAACAAGATAAGTAGTAAGTATATATACATATATATGTCAGATTTCTGTCTAAGGACAGTCCATCTCGAAATGTTGTCTAAATTGGGTTGTCTGTTGCTTGTCCTCTCATTTGGGAACAGCTGTAAGTAACTACATTTATTTATTATACATTTTTCCGTATTTACTTTTATATTTTTTAACAATCGAGTATATTTTTTAAATAGTGCGACCACTATTGGAGTGACCAAAACAAAAATAGTTTGCAAAACAGTTCGCTTTACATAAAATTATACAGAGTGTTCCGTTAATAAGCGCTAAAATATTATTCACATATACAGGGTGTTCTGAAAGTCCGTCAGGAAACTCCGGGAGGTGAATCTAGGGATTAAAATAAATTTTTTTGTAGTTTTCTTTAAATAACTCAGCGGGATGACTTTGTACGAAAAAATGCTTAGGACATGATTTTGTTCGTAATAAAAATAGCTACAAAATGGCGGAGGTCCGATTACGAAATTTCCAATAACAAAGCCGTGAGACTGAAAAAACGGTATAAAACGCCAATTTTTTTAAGTTGCTGTAAAAATGTCAATTATAAACAAAAAGTGATAAAACTTTCGAAAACTATAGTTCAATATATATATACAATAATGACGCTAAAGCCGAAAATCAGGAGAGCAAAACTTTTTGTTCTATAAGGTGTTATACATTCGGCGGCATCTGAAACTCGAAACTTTGCCAAATTTGTTCGAAGCTTTGCTGACACTTGAAATTTGGTACACACATAGTGTAAATATGCAGAAACCAAAAGCAATTTGCAAAATTCAAGTATCTTCATTTTTGCAGTTTTGGTAAGGTTTTATACGTCACCCTAGTTTTATACGTCACCGTTTTTTTAATTTTTGGACGTATATTTATGTATATTTATAAAATATTCCATTACGGTAGATTAGCCAGCATAATTACCTACAATTTAAAAAAATATATATTTTCATCGTTTAGATCCTAAGCTACTTAACATTTTGCGCCTGTTAGCCGTAGTCGTACATTATTCAACATATTAACATAAAACAAAATCGTACGTGTGGGGTAAACCTTTAACTTTTCATTTTCGAGCGCGAGCTCCGCTCTTCGGCGCTTGTATACTATTAGAAATATGCAACAGTAAATTTAAACAATTGTTTACTTAAAGTTAAAGGTTTACCCCACACGTACGATTTTGTTTTATGTTAATATGTTGAATAATGTACGACTACGGCTAACAGGCGCAAAATGTTAAGTAGCTTAGGATCTAAACGATGAAAATATATATTTTTTTAAATTGTAGGTAATTATGCTGGCTAATCTACCGTAATGGAATATTTTATAAATATACATAAATATACGTCCAAAAATTAAAAAAACGGTGACGTATAAAACTAGGGTGACGTATAAAACCTTACCAAAACTGCAAAAATGAAGATACTTGAATTTTGCAAATTGCTTTTGGTTTCTGCATATTTACACTATGTGTGTACCAAATTTCAAGTGTCAGCAAAGCTTCGAACAAATTTGGCAAAGTTTCGAGTTTCAGATGCCGATGAATGTATAACACCTTATAGAACAAAAAGTTTTGCTCTCCTGATTTTCGGCTTTAGCGTCATTATTGTATATATATTGAACTATAGTTTTCGAAAGTTTTATCACTTTTTGTTTATAATTGACATTTTTACAGCAACTTAAAGAAATTGACATTTTATACCGTTTTTTTTTTATCTCACGGCTTTGTTATTGCAAATTTCGTAATCGGACCACCGCCATTTTGTAGCTATTTTTATTACGAATAAAATCATGTCCTAAGCATTTTTTCGTACAAAGTCATCCCGTTGAGTTATTTAAAGAAAACTACTTAAAAAAAAATTTTTACGATTAAATTGTTAATAACTTTTTTTCCTGATAAAATACTTAGTCAGCAAATTAGCCTGTTATTGTACTCATCATTTAAAGTAGACCTGTGTAGTTATTTCCGGATTATCAAGGTTTGACACACGCCGAACCTCTACCAACTGAACTAATTACAAATTACGATTATACACATAATAATAATAATACAAAACAGATATTAACTAACAGAGTATAACAGACCTCCATTGTTGACATTAAAAAAATGCTAATGCCCCTCTTTTAAGTATGTTGTTGTCTTTGTAGTGTAAATTATTATCAGTCAAATAAGACAGTTTAATTTATATACATATTTTAATTTAAATCGATGCTAGTTTGTTCAAGTCAGGATGATCTACCAGAGATAGACACGCCTTTGGGAAGAGTTCGAGGATATTGGAAGACTTTGGATGGTATAACTTATGCTGCATTTGAGGGAATTCCATACGCAAAACCACCAGTGGGAGATTTGAGATTTGAGGTGGGTCAAAACATTCTCATTTGTGTTAAATGTCCAACTAAACCGTCATGGCTTCTTTACGTATTTGTAGGAATCTGAACCCATCCCAGCTTGGTCAGGAACATGGGTGGCCAACGTTTCTTATACATGTCTCCAAGGTCAAGTACTGTCCACTCTTGAAAAGGAACCTGGTCAGTATAAAGCACCAAGTAACTTGAAACCTAATTATGCTTCTCTTAAAGTACGAAGGAATATTAATTCTATATGCCTTTAAGCATTTACTTCTTACAATATCATCTTCATTGATGAAAGTGTTTGTATTTTTTTTAGGAGACGAAGATTGTCTGTACATAAACGTGTACATTCCTGAAGATTCCGTGAAAAACCCCAAGGCCCTTGACGTTATAGTTTCAATCCATGGAGGTGGTTTTATGTCAGGCAGCGGAACGGAATTTGATACGTTCCTAGACAAGGAGGCCGTGCTTGTATCTTTTAATTACCGTCTTGGTATTCTAGGTACGCTGTTTTTTTAACACTGCCTTCGGCTTCCTATGTCAGTTTTTATTCAATTAACGTTGCAGGATTTCTTAGCACGGAAGATGACGTCATACCCGGAAACAACGGCATGAAGGACCAAGTCTTAGCACTCAAGTGGGTCCGGGACAACATCGCTTCGTTTGGTGGAAACCCTCACTCCGTTACCATAGTGGGCTTGTCAGCGGGAGGCGCCAGCGTCCATCTCCACTATTTCTCTCCCCTTTCTAAAGGTTTATTCATAAGAGGGATCTCTCAAAGCGGTACAGCTCTAGCGCCATGGGTAACGAAAAAAAATGCTTTGCAAAGCGCTAAGAAGCTTGCTGCGTTGATGGGCTGCCCTGACAGTGTCTCGGAAGAACTGAAGAAGTGCCTTAAGCAGAAACCTGCACAAGATTTGATGGATCAGATTAAATATTTCTATGCTTTTAACATCACGCCAACCGCGCCTTTTGCACCAGTGGTGGAAAAAGGATCAAAGAACGCTTTTCTAGACGCGGAACCTTACCAGCTTTTGAAGGAAGGTAAAGTGCACGATGTGCCTTGGATTACCTCATTCACTACTGATGAAGGATTGCTTATTACAGGAGGTAAGTCAGGTTATGTAATAGCTTTTCTTCCTTTTTTCTTATACCCTGCAATGATTCGGTAACACAGATTATATAATTATTCAGTTCTTTGGCAAGACTTGGAAGAGGTAGACGAAAAGTGGGTAGAAATATTTCCCCATATGCTAAATTGCAATGAGACTTTACCTGTATCAGAGAGAGAAATAGTAGCGAAGGAACTTTTAGACTACTATATGGGACCAGGAGAAAAAATCAGTAAAAACAGCTACAAAAAATTTACACGGGTATATTTTCTCAATTTGTGAAATAAAATTTATTTACTTTATTTTGTTTTTATTTGCATTTAGATTCTTACTGACAGGTTGTTCGCTGTTCCTGCAGAATTATCAGTTAAACTACAAGCCAATGTAACGAAATCTCCAGTATATCTCTACATATTCAATTACACCGATGGTGCAACCAAGCTGGTGCAAATCATATCGGGAACAGATGAAATAGAAGGTAAGAACTGAACATTTAACTAGGGAAGAAGCGGCATTGAATAAATATCGAAGTTAATTCTAACATTATCATATTGACAGGTGTGTGTCACGGTGAAGATTTTATGTACTTCTATACAGACCAGCAAAATTTATCGGGACAGGATAAACGCTTGGGTACTGCTTGCCAAAATATGTTGTACTCGTATGCCAGCAACGGGTAAAAAAAACATAAATATTATTGAATTACTTATGTCCATCATTAATTCTAATTTTTTAGTAATCCTTCTTTCGATGGGACAGACGTTTGGCAACCAACAGGTGCTGAAGAGCTGACTTACTTGGTCGTAAATGGACCAGAAGACATGAAGCTGCAAAGGAGCGAAAGCCTGACTCCAACTGACTTTTGGAGTAAGCTTGGACTCCTGGAGAACGAAAACCTTATTGTAAAAAATGAAGTGTAGATTCATTATAGTTTCTTTATGTGAATTATAAATATAACCTACAAGATAAAAATAGTTTGATTTCATCGTTTTCTTTACTATAATAATTGTTTTATTAATATTAATATAAAATTGTAATTAATCAGTTAATTCTTCAAATTCATGACTTTCGACCTATTTTGGAATCAAGCTAGTCCTAACTCTGTCGAACAAATAAAATAAGTGATAATATCATAATTATTGTAGTAACATAGTATTCTTTGCCAGACACACATATAAACATAGTCCATTGCGAAAAGTTGTGTAAATTGGTTTGTTTAATGTCTCTCGTTTGAGAACAATTGTAAGTAATTACTTATTTGCTACTGATTATCTACTGACATTACCTTATATTTAGACGTGATTACTATTTTTTATCTCATTTACTTTTACGGTACATAATTAAAAAGTATGCTTTCATCAAACTAATTTGAAATTAGTTTGTTTAAGTCAGGTTGAACTGCCAGAGATAGACACGCCATTGGGAAAGGGATTTTGGAAGGCTTTAGATGACCGGAAATATGTTGCGTTTTGTAAATTATTTTTCTTCTCTTCATGTGGCTGCGTGGAAGAACGAGCATCGAACGCCGCCACTATTTAATTTTTCTTTTGTATAAATTAATTTATTGTGTAATAATAACAATTATTATTATTATTAATAATGTCTGGACATGTCGTTATTAAATCAAAATTGTTTATGATGACTGATCTACCTATCCAAAGATGTACCGGAAATGCCATATAAAGGATGGTCCAACCATAATGCACGATGTTAATTGTGAGTCACACCTTAACGTGAAGTTTTTTGCCCAACTTAATTTGACATTTCTTTGTTTCAGTGTTTGACAAATTCAACCATGGAGAGGTACACAATTGAGCAGCGCGTTAAGACTGTTGAAGTCTTTTACGAAAATGGGCATTCAATTCAAAATGCATTTCGTGCACTTCGTGATTTTTTTGGTCAGCATAATCGACCAAATGTGTCCACAATCGGGAGAATTGTGCGCAAATTTCAGCAAACCGGGTCTGTGGGAAATGTGAAAACACCTGTGCATGCTCGCCCAGTTCATTCTGCGGAAAACATTGCTGTTGTTCGCGATAGTGTGGCAGAAGAGCCGTCAACCTCGACTCGTCGTCGTGCCCAACAATTGAACATCTCACGAACATCACTGATGCGCATTTTGAATAAAGATTTGAATTTACACGCTTACAAGGTTCAATTGACTCAAGAGCTGAAGCCCACTGACCATTTCAAGCGTAGTCAATACGCCGAATGGCTGTTGATACCGTTGGACTTCTTTCNAAACCGGGTCTGTGGGAAATGTGAAAACACCTGTGCATGCTCGCCCAGTTCGTTCTGCGGAAAACATTGCTGTTGTTCGCGATAGTGTGGCAGAAGAGCCGTCAACCTCGACTCGTCGTCGTGCCCAACAATTGAACATCTCACGAACATCACTGATGCGCATTTTGAATAAAGATTTGAATTTACACGCTTACAAGGTTCAATTGACTCAAGAGCTGAAGCCCACTGACCATTTCAAGCGTAGTCAATACGCCGAATGGCTGTTGATACCGTTGGACTTCTTTCTTTGGGGAAATTTAAAAGAAAAAGTGTACGTCAATAAGCCAAGAACAATTCAAGAGCTAAAGGATGAGGTAATTCGGCACATTAACGACATTGAACCTCAATTATGTCCCAGAGTCATTGAAAATATGGACCATCAGATAGAGGTATGCCACCCAAGCCGTGGCGAGCATTTGGCCGATATTTTGTTTCACATATAATTGTCATAGATCCTTCTATCATAATAAAAAATATTAAGATAATTTTCTGAAAACTTTTTGTTTTATTTACAATTAAGATCGTGCGTTTTGGTTGGACCACCGTTTATATGTATAAAAAAAGATAGATATATGTAGGTATTAAATTATATTCACTTGTATTATCTCATAACAACGTGATATTTGTGAAACTTCTAAAAGCAATAGTAACAAAAATCAGATTTGTTTGGGTATAGTATTTTTCTATAGAGTACCTAATATTTAATTTTGGTTACGCTATTCCAAGATTTGAGCTTGAAAGTTCAAGCAACAGAATCAGCCGGATATAGAGAAAACTGACGAACTGATGGCCATTTTTCGAAGGAAACCTTCTTCTCATTTTATCAGCAGAAATATGCGAATAGACCTAAAACGACAGATGTCGTCCGTTCAGAAGTCCGTTCAGCACAAAGCACGATTTAAGTTGCTACTCTATCTTATCGCTTTCGAACAATAATTCTCGAAATAGTTCAAAGCTCAGAATTTCAGTGTCATTGAAATTCAATGTTTTTTATTGGTCTAAGATATTGCCTTTAGATTCAAAATGTCAATCAATCAATCAGCATTAACATTCCAGGAATCTTTAACATGGAAGACGCCGTAATACCCGGCAACAGGGGCATGATCGATCAAGTTTTAGCACTCGAGTAGGCAGCCTATCAGCAGGTGACGCTAGCGACCACCTCCACTATTTTACTCTGATCACGCTATTCTACCCTTGTGACTGTGATAAATAAGATAAGTGGTATATATAAGTATATATATCTGTCAGATTTCCGTCTAAGGACAGTCCATCTCGAAATGTTGTCTAAATTGGGTTGTCTGCTACTTGTTCTCTGGTTTGGGAACAGCCGTAAGTAACTACATTTATTATTTTATATATTTTTCTGTATTTACTTTTATACTTTTTAACAATCAAGTATATTTTTAAAATAGAGTGACTAAAACAAAAATAATTTGTTTTGATAATTTTGCTTATCTTGAAGAATTTGTTTAACTGAAGGTATTAGCAAATCAAATTTAGTACGTAAGTCTCGATTGAATAACAATTTAGCTGGTTTCTCCCCTGTAGTCGTTTGAGGAGTTTTTCTATACTGAAATAAAAATGATTTATAAAATAATTTATATCTCAATTTTTATTATCGTGTTCGGCTTTTATTAAAGCTGTTTTCATAATTTTTATCGCGCTTTCTCCTAATCTATTAGTTGCTGGATGATAAGGTGCTCCCAACGATTGTTTTATATCAGGTGAAGTTAGAAAAGATTTAAATTCCAAATCGGGAGAGCTCATGAAATATTTCTATGGCATGTGAATCAGTTAAATTTTTTACTTCAAAACATTATAAATCCATTTTGATGTCGCGTCTTGAATTACTAAAAAATAATCAGCATGTAACTTTGTCCATGGTTCTTTTGGCCAGTCCCATACTTCTAATGATATTTTCGGTGGGTTGTTCGAAAATACTGCACACGAATTAGCTACATTTTCAATGTTTTTGTCTAACAGTAATCATGAACCTCGCGGATGAACTCGTGGTTGCCTCACTATACGCTGACGATAGAAATTCAAATCGGTTTCACTTTTTAGTTTCACTGCACCCAGGTTTTCTCTAGCTGAATGATCTTTCATGGCACATTCCTTAGAAAGCGCAATTTTTATCATTTTTTTTTTAGGTTTAAACTGGAGCTTGATGCATCTTCTTCAAAAAGACGGTCTACGATTTTTTCATCATTGATCCCAATTACAAAAACATCTCGAATAACGGTCTCCAATTCTTCCCCAAACTTACAATTGACTGCTAGGCTTTTTACTCTAGCTTCCCATTCGGACACATTTTCATTTAAATGTCGCTTTGCCCTGTAAAATTTTAGTCTCTCCAAAAAATAAGATTTCACTGGTGAAAAATGTTCAACAAATAATGTGATTAATTGTTCGTACGTTTTGCTTTCGGGCAAATTTGGTACACACAAATTTCTAAGTAAAATATAACATTCCTCAGATAAGGTATTTAGCAGTATCGCTTTTTTGCGATCGGTATCCGTTATTTTATTAGCAATAAAAAACTGCTTTAAGCTTTCCTTGAATATTAAAAAATCGGAATAAATGGGGTCAAATACACTCCATGTTCCCAAACGGCCTAAATTAGTTTGATCAGTCATTTTAAACTTTAAACTTTGTCTTTTTCGCGATTAATCTCTTCACTGCACTGCACTTGCACGTGAGTTACAATAATCTTCGTCCCGAATTCGTTATGTCTTACTTAATATTAAATAATAACACCACTCTTAACTTCAACATTTAATATCAAAAGTCCACTGAAATGGTTTTACAGTTCCTTTTATCCTACAAATTCTTATTTTTTTGTATTCGTTAATAATCAGTGGCAGGACCACAAAAGTTTAGACTAAAATAAATATAATATACTCACATATATAACAGATATTGTTCACATTAAAAAATGCTAATGCCCCGCCTTTAAGTATGTTGTTGTTTTTGTAGTGTAAATTATGATACAGTCAAAAAAGACAGTTTAATTTATATATTTTAATTTAATTCGGTGCTAGTTTGTTCAAGCCAGGATGATCTGCCAGAGATAGATACGCCTTTGGGAAGAGTTCGAGGATATTGGAAGACTTTGGATGGTATAACATATGCTGCATTTGAGGGAATTCCATTCGCAAAACCACCAGTGGGACATCTTAGGTTTGAGGTGGGTCAAAATATTCTCATTTGTGTTAACCGTCATTGCTTCTTTACATATTTGTAGGAACCTGAACCCATTCCAGCTTGGTCAGGGACTTTGGTGGCCAACGTTACTTATACATGTCTCCAAGTTCAAGTACTGGCCTCTATTCAAAAAGAATCTGGTCAGTATAAAGCACCAAGTGTAACTTGAAACCTAATTATGCTTCTCTTAAAGTAGGAAGAAATATTACTTCTTATACATATGCCTTTAAGCATTTACTTACAATATCATCGTCATTGATGAAAGTGTTTGTATTTTTTTAGGAGACGAAGATTGTCTGTACATAAACGTGTACATCCCTGAAGATTCCGTGAAGAACCCCAAGGCCCTTGACGTTATAGTTTCAATCCACGGAGGTGGTTTTATATCAGGCAGCGGAACGGAATTTGATACTTTCCTAGACAAGGAGGCCGTACTTGTATCTTTTAATTACCGTCTTGGTATTCTAGGTACGCTGCTTCTTTAACACTGCCTTCGGTTTTCCATGTAAGTGTTTATTCGATTAACGTTACAGGATTCCTTAGCACGGAAGATCACGTCATACCCGGAAACAACGGCATGAAGGACCAAGTCTTAGCACTCGAGTGGGTCCGGGACAACATCGCTTCGTTTGGGGGAAACCCCCACTCCGTTACCATAGTGGGCCTGTCAGCGGGAGGCGCCAGCGTCCACCTCCACTATTTCTCTCCCCTCTCTAAAGGTTTATTCATTAAAGGGATCTCTCAAAGCGGTACAGCTCTGGGCCCGTGGGTAACGAAAAAAAATGCTTTGCAGAACGCTAAGAAGCTTGCTGTGTTGTTGGGCTGTCCTGACAGCCCCTCTGAAGAACTGAAGAAGTGCCTTAAGCAGAAACCTGCAAAAAATTTGGTAGAGCAAATCAAATATTTCTATGGTTATGACATCACGCCAATCGCGCCTTTTGCGCCAGTTGTGGAAAAAGGATCAAAGAACGCTTTTCTAGACGCGAAACCTTACCAGCTTTTGAAGGAAGGTAAAGTCCACGATGTGCCTTGGATTACCTCCTACACTACTGGTGAAGGATTGCTTCTTACAGGAGGTGAGTCAGGCTATATAATAGGGTTTCTTTCTTTTTTCTTATACGCTGCAATGATTCAGTAATACAGATTATATAATTCTTCAGTTCTTTGGCAAAAGTTGGATGAGGTAGACGAAAAGTGGGTAGAAATATTGCCCTATCTGCTAGATTGCAACGAGACTTTACCTGTATCAGAGAGAGAAACAGTAGCGAAGGAACTTTTAGATTACTATTTGGGACCAGGAGAAAAAATCAGTAAAAATAACTATGTAGAATTTACACAGGTATATTTTCCCAATTTGTGATACAAAATTTATTTCCTCTATTTTGTTTTTATTTGCATTTAGATTCTCACTGACAGATTGTTCGGTGTTCCTGCAGAATTATCAGTTAAACTACAAGCCAATGTAACGAAATCTCCAGTATATCTCTACATATTCAATTACACCGATGGTGCAACCAAACTGGTGCAAATCATATCGGGAACAGATGAAATAGAAGGTAAGAACTGAACATTTAACTAGGGAAGAAGCGGCATTGAATAAATATCGAGGTTAATTCTAACATTATCATATTCACAGGTGTGTGTCACGGTGAAGATTTTATGTACTTCTATACAAACCAGCAAACTTTATCGGGACAGGATAAACGCTTGGGTATTGCTTGCCAGAATATGTTGTACTCATTTGCCAGCAGCTGGTAAAAATAACATAAATTTCCTTGAATTACTTATTTCCTTCACTAATTCCAATTTTTTAGTAATCCTTCTTTCGATGGGACAGACGTTTGGCAACCAACAGGTGCTGAAGATCTGACTTACTTGGTTGTAAATGGACCAGAAGACATGAAGCTGCACAAGAGCGAACACCTGGCACCAGTTGAGTTTTGGACCAAGCTGGGGTTCCTGGATTATGAAAATCTTATTGTAAAAAATTAAGTGTAGATTTCTCATAGCTTCTTTATGTGAATTATAAATATGTCCTACAAGATAAAAAATTGTTTGATTTCATCGTTTTCCTTATTATTATAATTATTTTATTAATGTTAATATAAAAATGTAATGAATCACTTAATTCCCGAAAATAATAACTTTCCACATATTTTGAAATCAAAGTCCTAACTCTGTCGAACAAATAAGATAAGTGATAATATCATAATTATTGTAGTAACATAGTATTCTTTGCCAGGCACACATCTAAACATAGTCCATTGAGAAAAGTTTTGTAAATTGGTTTGACTAATTTTTAATCTCTCGCTTGGGAACAATTGTAAGTAACTACTTATTTGCTACCGATTACCTACTGACATTACCTTATATTTAGACGTGATTAGTATTGTTTTGTCTTATTTACTTTTACGGTACATAATTGAAAAGTATGCTCTCATCAAACTAATTTGAAATTAGTTTGTTTAAGTCAGATCGAACTGCCAGAGATAGACACGCCATTGGGAAGAGTTCGAGGATTTTGAAAGACTTTAGATGACCGAGAGATATGTTGCTTTTGAGGAAACCACCAGTGGGAGATCTCAGATTTGAGGTGGCTCAATATATTCTCATTTTTGTTACAAATTTTTGCGGGCTCAAAAACAAGTTCTTCTACATTTCTTTGTTAACTTTGAAATTGTGTCGATCGAAAACCTCAAATGGCAGTAATTTTTGGTTATGGTACTAATGAGACATAATGATTTTAGCAAATTATTTTATTAAAATGTACACTACACTCCTGTATTTACTTTTATCCAATCTCTGAAAGAACTGACTCTGGAATAAGCTGTGGGTGTTCCAGACTGACATCCCCAAGATGACACAAAGGATACTACCCCTATTTGCACCCCATTAACCGTCAGGGGACCCCCTGAGTCTCCGTGGCACCCTCCAACCAGACCTGAAAGCAATCGAGATGTAAGTCTGATAGATACAAGTAACCAGACATAGAATTAATTGAAAATACGTTTCTACAGCGTTGTGCATTTTATTTTTAACGATGAATCATATTTACTCAGATGATCTTTTTTTTAGTCCATTTTTAATTGTTTTCTAAATGCAAGGAAATTTCTTAAAACTCTTAAACCTCTACGTCTTTCACTTACCTCCGCCAAAAGTACACACCGTGGATGGGTGGATCCAAATCCCATAGGTCTGCTGACAAAGACTGTTGGCAATAACGTTAACATTCACCGCCCTCAGAGTGGCAGCTACCCCTGGAGCCGAGTCCGAAGTCTTCCCCCACCCGGACAAGCGAGCTATGGATCCCGCGAATGTCCCGGAAGTGGCAGGGGCCAAAGTGATAACTTGAATGGTATTGCTTATCGGTACTGCGTAGGGCAGTCGGATCAGAGCTATGTCGTTGCTGAGGGTTGCTCTGCTGTACTGGGGATGGTTAATGATGCTGGAGGTGGTTACGGCGAGCTGTGTGGTTTCTGTCCGTCGGATGTTGTGAGCGCCAAGTATTACTCGGACGAGCGAGGCGCTAGAAATGTCAACAGGATTGTAATTAGCAGCCAGTCAATGATTGTAACTATCAAACGTAAGGCTTGGTTTGGTTCCGTCAGCGGACAGTACTAGAACTGTTCAGTACAGTCTCCCAACTGTTGTCTTTGCGCCAATGACCTCGGATGGGGCCGGGCCGAGCGGGACTATCGCTCTTAACCCACGCCCACGATCTCTATAGGCCTGGACGTAGAGGTATGAAATAGTCAGGTAGTTTGAACCTTCCCAGTACTGTTCTGTGTTGGAACCAAAACTATATTCGATTCAGGTAAGTTACTATTGTATTCTCGAGTATAAAATATACAATTACTCTGAGAAAGTACTACAATAAACACTGCATCATTGTTTTTAGTAAAAAAAATGATACAATGTATTAGCTATCTCAATAATTTATTGACAATATTGCAATATGTATTTAAATTATTATAAATTTAAGTCTGCAAATAGAGTGAGTGTATTATTGCTTGTTCTAGGTGTGAGAGCGTAAGTTTTCACAAGCAATTTTGTTTGCAGCAGCTTCGTTTTGCTGGTTGTAGCAATTCGCATGATTATATGTACACATTAATAAAAACCAGACAGATAGTAGCAGAACATTATAAAATTGAGACTATAATTTGAAATATTTCTCTTAAAATTCATGGGTAAAATTTTTAATTGAATTTCGTAACAGCAAATTTAAATTTAAATGTACACACACCTACTCTTAGAATCAAGTAAACAAATTTAAAATCAAAAGAAACAAATTTATAGCATTCCTTTTGTCTAAAGTTTAAAGGTATTTAATTTCATAAAATTTAAAGCAGATTTGGTTGCTTGTTTGATAACATACTGGGACTAAAGTTAGTACTGATATTTGCAGGCTGGTATCGTACCAAAAAAGATTCAATACATGTCAATGTGGATGCGAAATCACTAAATTTCGTTATTAGATTATAAATGTTATTATGATCCTTAGTAAATATTCAAACTGCTTGTAAATATTGCCAAAGAACATAGTTAACACTGTTGACGTCAAAGTGCACCAAAACGGTTTGTAAAGATGTGATACATAATTTTGTGATATACTAAGATATTCGAGTATACGTACCCGCTGGTGCAGTGCGCTGCCGTTAATACCCACTCGCGACTAATGAGGGAGCCACTGCAGAAGTTGGCGTCGTTGATAATAAGCGCCGCTTGGTACGGGATGGAGTTCCGAGCAACTTCGGTGCCTCCGATGATTCTTGCTCCAGGGGTAACCGGAGCCGTGTCCAGCGGGTCCACAGTAATGTCACTCGATCTTATATCGTCCCAGTTGAGCTATAATGAGATTTCTGTGAGTTATTTCTGTAAGATGTTGCAAGAGAAATGTTCTTCCTTTTGCTTCAGGCCTATTAATAATCTCAAAAACTAAAAAATATGTTATCTGAGATTTGTTTACTGGTTTCCTAACCGCTTCTGTATGATAGATGTTTTGAATAAATAGAATGTCCATCTGGACATCCAGATTTAATCCCACTGGACGTTCTTTTAAGCGGGAGATTGTAAAAAATAAATTCATAAAATGATAAAAACTGCTAAAGCACAGTAAGGCAAGAAATGTGATTAATTTATGTACTTAAATGTAAGAAATTTATGTACTTACTGGAGTATCGGAAAAGGCACATCCCAAAATAGTGCATAAACAAATAACACTCTTCATATCAACTCTTTCCGCGGTTTTTACTATGTAGAACTAATATGTGAGCTCTAAAATAAAAATATAAAATTTCAATCTCGGCAGAGTACTGAATCGAATGTCAGTGAATTGGTTTCATCGCAAACTATCTCGTCGAAACGCATAGAAAACGCAGACAAAGAATCAAGTTTAAAAATAAATTCAATAATTAAAAATGCTGATCGACACATATTTCGTAAAAATGTTTTGGAAGTTAGATTAGAAGCTGTACAAAAATGTATAACTGGAATTGTTCCTGTTAATGAAAGTTTTTAGAGAAATAAAAATAAATTAAAACGAGACAAAGGTTTGGAAATAACACTAAAAGAAATTAACGAGTTCTCCTTGTCGCTTCAACGACGAAGATAATTAGATGTTTTCACATTTTTAACAAAAAATATGTCAATTAAAATAAAAATCTTCAATTTCAATCTCATTTTTTTTTGTAGTGTATGAAGTATTTGTCTTAAAGCAATTGATTTGTTTTGGCAAAGATTAGTTATAATTACAGGCCTTACATAACTGTTTTTATGTTTTGTCCATGTTGCGGTTAATTTTAGTACAGTTGAGGATAATTTATCAATTTGCACATAATATTTAAAACGTTACTATTTATAAAATCAAATTGGATTTGTATTAGATTGCGGCAACAAACTGTACAACGAAATATTTAACGTTTTTTTTATATCTCCGCGAATGAGGTCAATAGCAATTTTCGCAACTCAGATTGTTATTGTGGAATAAGACAGAACGAGATTTACTCCTTATCTGTTACCGATTTCTATCGCACCGCAAAGCGGAAAAGTTCTGTTTTAATATCCCGAGGAAGGAAATAACGATTGGCATTTCCTGTAGTTCATCAAAACCCCGACGTGTTGCTCTAATTTTTCTATGTATACGACTAGAAATGCTTTAAATTTCCTGATGAATATCTTGTTATCAAGTTAAATTATACAGTGTGTTTTTAAATGAAATAGCAAAAATGGTACCTGTGAATATAGAGTCAAAAATAAGAGGATTGAAGTAAAAATATCTCATATGAAAGTTGCACCCCCTGAGGCGATATACCCTCTTAAAGAGGGGATTGAAATTCACATTTTAATTTTTTTCTTTAATATGAGCAATGCTAGAGACACGAAACTTGGTATGAGCATCCTACTAATAAAGAGACAACTTTTCATTAAACAGTCAACCCCATTGTAATATTTTATTAGAAATTTTTTATATGAAGCAAAATATTTATTTATTGGGAAGACGGATTTATTGCGCAACTTTTTTACCTCCTGTAATTTTTCGATAAAACCGATAGTTTTCTAGTAAAAAAATTAGATGCGTCATCGTTCACTAAAGGGGTAATTGCGAAAATTTGTATAAATAAAGTAGGCGAATGTCATACAAATAAATTGCTATTTATCATATTAATAAATTGACACTTTCTGTCAATAAGCTTGTAATTTAATAATAACATTAAGAATAATTTTAATAAAGAATTAATTTTAATTTTAATAATTTTAATTTAATTTTAATAATTTTAGAATAATAGGTAATTAATGAAAAATATTTGATAACTTATGAGTATGAGACATATATTAGGTAAAGTTATTTATCTGATAAAATTTAATACAAACGAAAAACAAAAAATGCAAAATTAAATTTAAAGAATATTCTCGAAATAATTTCCATTTTGCTGCAAGTATAACCTAATACGTCTGTTGAATTTATAACGTACTCGCCCAAACAGTTCTTGGTTATTGCGAAGGTCATCTGCTGCCTGAAATATTCTTAAGCGTAGTTCTTCTAAGGAGGCAAAAATTAAAATGCGAATTTCAATCCCCTCCTTTGAGAGGGTATATCGCCTCGGGGGCCTCAGGGATGCAACTTTCATATAAGGTATTTTTACTTCAATC